TCTACTTTTAAGATTAGACTGAAGACTTTCCTTTTTGATAAATCCTACAGTTAGACTTAGGTTTCCTCAGTTATTTCTTAGTTATAAAAGTTTAGAATTCTGGAGGACAAACTGACATTTCCTCTTTCTGCTGCTGTCTTTACTCGTTCTACTCTTTAAGTTAGTATTTATCATTATTTCTATCATTAGCATTTTCTTTGTCTTTCTTCCCAGAGAAATGACACCTGGACCAGTCATTTTATGTTTGTTTCTTTCCTGTCCTCTGTGACCCCAGCTACTCAAGGAAATGGTCGCCCATCCTGGGTCTGGTTCCGGTTCTGCCGGAGGTTTCTTTTTGTGGAAAGGGAGTTTTTCCTTTCCAACGGCTTCTTTAGATCAATATCTTTTACTAGTTGGGATTTTATAACTGCGGCTTCGTGCTGCAGGAGGGAAGGTTCTGATTGTTGTCTGTGCTTATGCACCAAACATCAATTCAGATTACCCGGCCTTTTTGGAGCCCTTGGATGGTGTCCTGGAAGGGGTGCTATCTGGAGACTCCCTCGTTCAGCTGGGTGACTTCAATGCCCATGTAGGCAATGACGGAGTTATCTGGAAGGGGTTGAATGGTCTGAATGATCTGAACCTGAACAGTGTTCTGTTATTGGACTTCTGTACTAAGCATGGGTTGTCCATAACGAACACCATGTTTGAGTATAGGGTGGTTCATAAGTGTACTTGGCACCAAGCCATCTTAGGTCAAAGATCGATGATCACTTTTGTAATAGAGTCATTGGACCTGAAGCTCTATGTCTTGGACACTTTGGTGAAGAGAGGGGCAGAGCTGTCAACTGATCACCACCTGGTGGTGAGTTGGATCCGGTGGCAGGGGAGGCTGCCCGACAGACCTGGTAAACCCAAACGTATAGTGAGGGTGAAGTGGGAACATTTGGCAGAGCCCCCTTGTCTGTTCGATCTTCAACTCCCACCTCCAGGGAGTTTTTTTTACATTTCCCAGGGGAGCTCAGGGACATGGAATCCAAAAGGGTCATGTTCAGGGCCTCCATTGCAAATGCAGCTTCCAGGCCTTAAGGTCATTGGTGCCTGTTGTGACGGCAACCAAAGGACCTGCTGGTGGACACCAGTGGTGATGGAGGCCATCAGGCTGAAGGAAGAGGCCTTCCGGACTTGGCTTTCCCGTAAGACTCCTGAAGCAGCCGACAGGTACAGGGTGGCAAAGACGGTTGCAGCTTCCGTGGTTGCAGATGCAAAAACTTGGGCGTGGGAGGAATTCGGAGAGGCCATAGAGAAGGATTTTCGATTGACCTTGAGGAGGTTCTGGCAAACATTTCAACGACTCAGAAAAGCAAAGCGTTCCCTGTCCCAGGCTGTATTTGGTTTGGGTGGTGATAGGTATTTTTCTAAAATACATACAAAAACAGGGGAGCAAATGAGACAATCAAACCATGGTTTAGAATCAAAGGTGAGGAGAACGCTGGACAGGGAGTCTCTCGTACAACCCAAATCCACCGTTCTGAGGGACTCCCTGTAGTTCAACCTCTTTTATTTATTATTCACGCCCCTGATTACATTGGCCATGAGACTGTAGAGGTAACCCTGGTGAAAAAAAACTTTTCTATTGTTTATTTTCCTTGTCTTTGAT